GAAAAAAAAATCAGGAGAAAAATACTGTTTTTACGATGAATTATGATATTTATCATGAAAATCTTGAGAAATCACTTTCTCTCCAGAAATTTCCGAGCGGTAGGGTTATTGTTGTGAGAGAATACAATCGATGAAACTCTCTATGTGGTTTTGAGACATTTGGTAAATTGGTAAAATCTGTAAATGTCAGTCGGTGTTTAAAATTAAAATATGTCTTTTTAAGGCACTAATTTACTCATACATGTCATTTAAGAAAACTGAAAAGTAAATTTCCAGAATTAAAGACATCAAAGGGAATATCTATCTATATTTTAAATCTAATTTGTTGCACCAGTTCATTTTTAATTCATCTTTACAAAACCATAACACGCTTGCTGCACTCTCACCCAAAGCACAATAATTAACATCTTAACTTCCCAAATACCGTCCTAAACATTGTTTATTATACTGTATCATTAGTTGTTGAATGTTATTTCATGAATATGTGTTAGGCTGTTACAACATAAAAATGACATAAATATTTAAAAAACTTTGATAGAAACCACGATTAGTTATTTGTCGGATTCGTAAACACAATATGGCGACGTCTCTACCTTCTGCATCCATAACCGCTACCAATTTTCTTAATTACTACCGATTATGTTTTCTTTAAGGCGAGCTCCAGATCGTTGTCCGTTTATCAGTTTTCTTCAGCATTATGTTACTGTTATCCATAACCTGTATAGGTGAGTCGTCCTCAACTAATATCACCAAGTCGTCCGCATAGGCTATGGATCTACATTCCACTCCTAAGTTCAGCGTACAAAATATTACACAGGGTAGGACCGAGAATAGACCTCTGTGGGATCCCTACACTCAGGGTCTTTGCCAGGGTTATCCATCCATTCTCTAGGAGTTTGCGTTTAGTATATTTAGTATATTAGTCCTACACATTTAAGCTCTAGTAGAAATATATTATATTTAATGTAATTCCATGGTTAAGAGCACAAATATTTTATGTCCATTTTTGTCGAAAATGGAATAGGTAGGATTCTATATCATGATAAAATCTTTATGGTTACCAAATATAGACCGTCAACTTAAATAGGTTTACCAATCAGTAAAGTAATACTAATAAAAATTATACAGCTCGTCATAGTCACCTCCAACTTTCAAATCGATTTTATTCAAAATGACATTTTTGGACATACAACATTTGTGCTCTAAGCCATCGCATTATTAATTTTTTTTCAAGTGTACACATCTATTAGAATTTTGTCATTTTTTATTGTAATTTTGTTATGATATAAAGTAATCGAATACCCATGCGCATCCTACAAGGACATAAATGGGTATGTTCGACTACTTAAATATCAATACATAGAAAATAATATTCAAAATACAAAAATGTACAAATATGTAATATTTAAAATGAATAAACATTATAATTGGCCGAATTAAAGGCGTTTTTCACATCCAGGGCCATAACCTAAAATATTATTTATAGTTGTATTTTCCTGGCATTGTAAATCATAATATGTGGTAAAAACTTAGATAAAAGAGACCAGAGATATAACATACACCGGTTTTAAACCTGCGCAAATGTTGCCAATTTCTAAAGAAGGATTAACGGAGTGGGGGAACTGGGCGGCGACCCGAACTCTGTGACAGGGACCGGACTTTGTTTATTAGCATCTTAATGAACTATTAGGTTTATTTAAAAGGTGTTTAATCGAATTTTGTATTATGAAATAAAATTAACGTGATTTTTTAATATCAAACAGATGCCACGACATTTTATGTAAAGAGAAGACCTTTTATAGAATATTTCGTTAGCGTTTATTTACTACGGACTTTTCTGCAAGAGATTACAAAAAAAAAAGTTGAAATAGAATATATTGTTAATAGAGCAAAAAATGTTACTCATTGTCTACGAGTATTATAAAAATAGCATGTGCGCAGGCTAATACTGCAAATCTACCCTTATGAGTTGAACATTATATTTTTTCTACGGCTATTACATATTATTAAAAATTAGTCAAAATGAGAAAATGCTGTTTTGTATTGTAACCTCAGAAAAAAGTATATTAAGGCTTCTTTCTTTAAGAATATTAATTATTATAAAGGATGAGTCACATAAAACTCTAGAAATGCATATATCTGAAACCAGATAACATTTTAAAATTTAAATCTATTAAAAGTCATTTGGTCGCTAGGGATGAGTGATTATCGAAATAAATTATCGATCATTGAAAATAATCGATTATTTTCGATTAATCGATTATTTTCAAACAATATATTTTTTGTCATTTCCTTTAAAATCGACTACTTGATTATCTTTGAAAAATCAAAAATAATCGATTAATTAAAAAGCCAATTAACCGATAAATCAGTGTTTACAAAATATAATATAAATAGAATTATCGTTTATTTTAAATAATCGATTATTTTCAAATAAACCATTTTTTTTCGTCCATGGAAACAGATTATTCGATAATCTTTGAAAAATCGAAAATAATCGATTAATCAAAAATAATCGATTAATTAAAAAGTCGATTAACTGATAAATCAATTTAAAAAAAACAGAATGATCGATTATTTTAAATAATTGATTATTTTCGATCAATCGATTATTATCAATAATCTATTTTTATTGTATTTCCTTTAAAATCGATAATTCGATTATCTTTGAAATACCAAAAATAATCAATAATTCCAAAATAATCGCCTAATCGAAAATAACCAATTAATTAAGAAGCCGATTCTATGATAAATCGATTTTCCAAAAAATAAAACGAATTATCTATTATTTTTTATTAATCCTTTTTTCATATTTCCTTTGAAATTGATTATTCGATTATCGAAAATAATTGATTATTAAAAAGCTGATTATCCAATAAATCGATAATTTTAAAAAAATAACCAAAATATCGATTATGTAAAATAACCGATTATATTTAATCGATTATTTTCATATAATATCTTTGAAAAATCGAAAATAATCAAATAATTAAAAAACCGATTAAACGATAAATCGATTATTTTGAATAAATCTACTTTTTTTGTATTTCCTTTAAAATCGATTAATACATTATCTTAAAAAAAAAACGAAAATAATTTATTAAAAACAGCGGATAAGTCGATTTTCATTAAAAAATATCAGAATTATCGATAAATCGATTATTTTTGTAACTCCTATCGGTCGCTTGCTTTTATCTGAGCATTTAGCTCCAAAATTTAGAGATTCGGATTTTTTGATCCAGTTATCTTTGAAATCGCATTCGATTGTATAATAAATAAATATTGCTAAATTTTTGATTTTTTTTAGTAAACGAAAATTATGTTCGAGTTGTTTAGGGGTTTGTAATGTAACATTTTATTAACGTGACTAAGGGTCGATTCCACCGTTGTGTTAAACGAAGTTTAAAATGACATTTTTACATTAACACTGTCATTTTAATCTCCGTTTAACACAACGGTGGAATCGGACCTAACTCCTGTAACTTTAGTATTTTTTTTTGCTTATACTAGATTACTTTGTTTTAAGACTGAAAATTCAATGTCTCTTTCGATTTGACCGCAAATAAGATGAACCTTGAAATTTTAAGTAGGTCCTCCTGTATTTCATCTAATATTCTTATAAAAATAAAATTTAGCTAGCAACTATGATTCTTTACCTCTTATTTATCTACCAAAAAGGGCTAAAAACTACCTTTAGAAAACATTCTTATAAAACTACTTTTTAAATACAAAATTTCGATAGCAATAATGCCTATTTACTATTTATTTAAATTAAATGTTCAAAATTTTACCCTTTTGTAAATTTATGTAAGTAATATGAAATCTGATTTCTGATGCTTAATATTTATTGAAACCCCTTAATGCGGATCTGAAGTATTCAGCCCAGAGAATCATGGCGCTTTATGTCAAAACGTTAATAAATATTTACCGCTGAAAAAGAATATATTCATAACAGTAGTACTTGTATTATAAGTATATACAATTTTTCAAGATACATCGTGACATTTTGAACTTGAAATTGAATAACTAGAACACTTTAAATTGCTAAAATACCAACAAATAAATCAAAAAACAGCTGTCATTGGTGATTAAACTCAGGTGGAGGTGATCGCTGAATGGAAATCGGAGCAATTCGGGTGGCGTCGTGCAACAATGATTTACAATTAGTGGGTTACTTTGGCTTAAAATAGACAACATGCGCAGTGTGCAATGTTACATCTTCGGTCTCTTTAATCTAAGGGTAAAAATGAAAGCTGATTCAACCTATCTACCTCGATTTGATGCCTCGATGATATCCGAGTTGTATGCAAGTAATATAAAACAAAAATACAATAACTAACCTCGGAACTATCTTACCATTACGAGAAAAAATCATATTCGTCTTCCAGGATTAATATTTTGGGCAACATTGTAATCATGTGTGATTTTCTTAGAAAACTAAAGACTATTATTGGTAGTTTATCAGTTAATAGGAATAAAAATTTCGATACATTGTTATAGCTAATATTCTACTAAATTATAAAATCTTGTTAGGAAGTTTTAAATATTTTCTGAAATTAAAAAAATATATATTTGTTCCGAAATTTTATCGTCCATATTTCAAAAACTAATTTCCTAACTTGCTTTTCAATGATAAGCAAAATCGGATAGAAATATCTCATAATATCGATATGACAAGATATATGAGCACTATCAAATCATTGTGACGACAAATTTCCGACGATATATTGAGTTATGATGAGTTTCGTACGCTTCTCGACTTTTATTCAATTTTAAAAATTGAAGTTAAATCATCCCAGATTGTATTTATTTTTGTAACCTTTTTCTAGCTTACAGTAAATGCATTTTTAATGGTAAATAACGGTGTTAAAGTTTTTCGATATGGTACTTTTTTAAAACCACTTGAGATTTATCGGCTTTTGATTTATCTGTGTCAATACAACAAAGCTTGGTATTCTTATTTGTCTAATTTCGCTTCTAATGGCACTTTCCTTGTTTCAGGATTACAACGACGATATTAGACAAGAACAAATGTGGGAAATGCAGGTACTCTCTAGCCAAAAGAACACCAAAAGTGACGAATCCAACAATGGAGGTTCACAGAACGAAATCAGCGAAGACAGATTAAGCGAAGAAGACGCGACAGATGCAAATAATTCGTTTACTGGTGATGTGCAAAATTCAAAGGACGACTCAGAACACCCCGCCATGAGAGGTATTCAACCAGGTAGGATCTAATTTTAAACGATATTTTATTAATACCAATCAAGCGTCATGCGGGCATTTACCATCAGGGTGGTAGAAGCCCATTTAATAGCCACTTCTGGTCAAATAAAATCGTGCAACTGCCTGCCGTAAGAGATATCTAAATAAATAGGCATCTAGGGGCACCTCTCGGCGTCGTTATCAACCGGCAGGATTTTTGACCAGCTGATAGGCAGCTCCTGAATGCTCCTTATAGATAGTAAGTCAAGTAATACCTAAAGAATATAAGGTTTTTCTTCATTTAATTGTGGTAGCACCTTAGCCAAAATTATATTGTGTAGCTTGTATGTACTGAGCTGTATTCGGGGTAGAAATAAGGCGGTAGATAATATGCACTAAATGTAAGCAAAAAATTGACAGAACTCGATAAAATATATGCCTTAAGTTTTCCATTGCAACATCAACCTATACAATATGCAATGACCTATTATACAGTGAAAGTCAACAACTTATACAAGGTGTGGCTATAAAATAACGAGAATGTTGCTAGCAGAGAAAAAGTACGCTTGCGTCAAATGCGAACAACCAACACTTGTGTAGCGTAAAGTTTACTCTTTTGAATACAGCACCTCCCGTGTCTGTAAATAAATTAATCTGGCCGTAGCCTTCAATTTTGTAAGAGCTGTTGTTTTGTTTTGCCGGAAAAAAGTTAATATTATTGCTCCTCTGATAATAGCAAGAAATTTGTATTACTAATAAGGATTCTGGTTTAATCCTAGAAGACACAATTTTAAAGATTATATCATAATTTTTTTTATGTGCAAAGAAAATAAGAAGTGTTACTAGCCCTGAGTTAGCATACTTTATTGAAAAAATGCAGTGTCGGGGCAAGACCTAAATTTTATGTGGGCAAGATACATTTTTGGGAGGCCCTCTGGTGGCGCAAGAAGACAGATTTTATAAAGAGAAATAAAAATGCTAACATCTCTTAGACTTTAACTAATATTATTAAGTAATTATTACTAGCAGTAAAGAATTACAGATACATAAATTTCCTGCTTTTAGCTTTACTGAATTCCTGTATCATAATCCAGATTAGATGTTATATCTGCTTTAATAGATACAATTGACAATGCTAAAAGTCTTTGTTGGCCCATTGTACTTCTTAATTTTTTATTAGTTTTAAGTTTAAAAAGCTCCTTTCAGCAGAAGTTGTACTTGCTGGTACTGTAAACAAAATTTGAATGACAATATAAACATTTGGATAAATTTATTTTCTATTATGTATTGGAGCAGCTGTTTTACACCTTTAATGAAATCAGGTAAATTTGGGATCAATATTTGTAAATCTTCATAAAATTCGTAAGGTTTGAAAGCACTGCTCTCACTTAGTCGAGAACAATCCACTTTAAATAATTTTAAAGGTGATGCTTTTAAAAACAAATACAAAAATAAGTCAAAAATCATATAAAGGAGGACGTCTGAGGAAAGAAATAGAAAAGAAAAAAGGGAAAAGGAAAGAAAGAGAAAGAGCGCAAACAAAAACTCAAAAGACGCACCTTTCAAATGATTCACTTTTCACCTCAGGAAAAATATTCTGGAATCAAATATTAGAGAAGAATACAAAAAAGTAAACCAAATCGGAACTTGCTGTTAAATAATAATTCGATTTTTAGTTTTTTATACAATTATATTGTTTTATAAATAAAGTAGTTTTTAATATTCTTGCATAGAACGATTGCCAAAGAGAAGTTTTAAATTGACACACTGTCATAAACAATTTGTTATCAGAACATAAAAAATATGTTACAAAAACCAACAATTCGTGTAAAAAAAAATAGTATATTATTTAACGATCGGTAATTCAGGTCATAACTCACGCAGATGAAGTTTGCAGCACGAGCCGCAGGCGAGTGATGTAATTCATCAAGTGAGTTATGACCATTACCACAAGTTGAATAGTATACTTTATCTACGACTATAACAATAAATACTAAGATACAAGTATCGAGAAAAAATTATATAATTGACTATATGATAAAAACGTTTAAATCTTTGTAAAAGCTATTACCTTTGTCGCCAAATATTTCCCATCAGGAGCTTTATTTATGAAATTATTAAGTTGTTCTGACATAAATGTTTTTGCCTTTTAAGCTATATGTTTTTCTGATTGACGTTTAAGAAACGCACGTAATTTTGAATAATTCTCTATATTAATTCCATTATTTATGTTGATTGTGCTTCTTAGCAAGGAGTAGAAAATCCATAAAGGCGATGATTAATATTTATTGCTAAGTTCATTAAAATATGCCAAAGGTACATTTTCTGTAAACGAGTTACACCAATCTTGAAAATTTTAGTATACACCTTTATACTTGTTTTTTGATTTTTCTGATAATAAATTCTGTATTGCATTATTAGCTATTTCTCTTATTTCTGGAGGTATACATAATAACTCATCTTCACTATCTAAATTCATCTTTTTTTAGCACTATTATTAGAAATTGATTTGAAAACGTCAAAATTATTTTGTTAAAATATCAAATGACATTATTCCCAACAACGTAATAATTGAATGTTCCGCCTACTGAGAGGCGTTGACAATTTAATAATTTTAAAATCTTTTAATTATTATTCATTCCTTTCCAGTTGTTAAAAAATCTTTCTAACATTTTACGCCAATGGAACATTCATCGACTTTAAAATTTCCAAGAATTTACTGCGCACACTATTTATATGCCGAATTATCGTAGGAGCCCAGCGTGAGTTATAATAACTCACTGTTAAAACTCACGCTATTTGTTTATTGATAATATTAATTGTTCAAAAGCAGTTGAATAATTAATATATAAATTAATATGAGTAGATAAAAGAGTTTTAATAGTAAGATTATTAGTAAACAATACATATTGTGACAATAATTGGAGCTAACTGCATTTCTTGTCGAAATATAATTATCATATGTAATTATGAAACACGAAAAGTGTCCAACCAACATTTAGTCTGCTCTACTAAAAAGTTGACTATAATGACATAGCGCAGTTTATCTCCGAGGTTCTGATATACCTATTAAATAATTTTCAAAACTTTGACTTTATCATTCTTTTAGTGTACCTATTTTTTACGCTATTATGTTATTGTTTTAGTCTTGATTAGAATATTATTCTACTCTTCATAGACTACTGTAGTATGTGAAAAGTATTATAGGTTTACTTTACTCAAAAACGAAAAATAATAATAATAATAATAACTTGAAAATTTTATCAAAAAAAAGCTCTATAAGGGGACAAAGCCTATTGATTTTGGAAAAATCTGATTAAAAATAGACGCCAAATTTGCAGCGTCTCTAATTTCCAGGGGCGTATCCGTAATGAATTCTTCGTCACTACTCATTTTTGTAATTTTTTTTTGACGCCAATTTTTAATAAACTAGGTAATTAAATTAATTTGACATGAGCACAGTGACACGACAGAAATTGTTCAATTGTTCTTATAGCCAACTCAGTTAAGAAAAAATTATTGGTAATAATATCATTTCAGATTTAATTTTCTATATATTTTTTAATATCTAAGCACATTCGATAAAAAACAATGTACGAAACACGGACTCCTACGACTGCGCCACAGGCTGTGCCCTATTTAAAATTTTAGATGATACGGGGTGCGTTCAGATTTGGAGAATGTAAAATTTGGTAATATTTGAATAATATTTCTGGAAGTTCATTTTTTGAATTGAAAAAATGAACGCCGACAGGGGATATATATTGACAGACATAACCTAATTCTTTAAACCACTAGAGAATTGACTATAATAATTATTACTAAATCATGGAAAATATTCTGGATATATTTTCGAGCAGTTCAAGTTCAAGTAGTTCTAGTGAAGATGAAATTGAAGAAATTTATAATCCTCAAAATCGAAGAAAAGTGCCAAGAGTGGCCAATTTTATAACTGATGTTATTGATAACTGTTCTGACAAACAATTTCAACAGCATTTTCGAATTAACAGGTTGCAGTTTGATAGACTATTAACAAGACTATCTCCATTGCTAGAAAAACAAGAAGAATCAACTGGTAGACTACGGATACCTGTTGAGAAACAGCTAATGTCTGTGTTGTGGTTATTAGCTACCCCAGATAGCTATAGGTATGTTATTATCGGCTCTGTAACGAAATAGCGCATATCAACAGAGCGCCTGAGCGAAATGGCGCGTTTCTAAAGAGCGCCTGAACGAAATAGGGCTTATTAAAAAAACGTCAGTCAAAATAGCGCCCGATCCAACCAGCACCTGAACCAAACAGTGCCGGGTACTCCACAATTTATTTTTTACATAAAATTATGAAAAAAAAATTACCTAATGTACCTAACCTGCGAGGACAGGAGCTATCGCGGGTTGCTTCCCAAAAAAAATAAACGTATAATGAGAAAATTTAAAAACATGTGCGGCCAGGTGCCATTTAAATTTAACCGATCCCTTACGCACAGGTTAGGTAAATTAGTTGAGTTATTTTAATTATTTTATGTAAACATTTTTGGCGAAGCACCCCGTGATGGATCCAGGCGATATTTTAATAAATACTAAACGCTATTTCATTCAGGCGCTGTTTCGATACGCGCTATTTTAAGTACGCACTATTTCGTTCGGGCGCTATTTCGAAACACGTCATTTTAATTAAACGCTGAAACAATAGCGCTATTTTGATACGCGATATTTCGTGATAGTGCCATTATTATCATAAGTAGTAACAAACATTAATTACATTATTTATAGGTCTGTGGGATGCCGTTTTGATTTGGGAAAATCTTCTTTATATGTATGTTTTATTCGAGTTATAAAAGCACTTAATGAAATTGCTCCACAAGTTATTAAATGGCCAGACCATGAAGAGAAACAAGCTCTTAAACACACTTTTCAACAAATTGCAGGAATACCTGGTGTAATTGGAGCGATAGATGGAACTTATATTCCAATTAAAGCCCCCAATAACAACCCTGAAGTATATATTAATAGAAAATGTTT